GTGCATTTTAATTTTCAGTATTTTACTTTTTATACTGAGGCTCTTTTTGAGATGCAACACAAACTGTATCATCCTGAATTAGCTTGTGGGAATGGGGTCATAATGAACTCTGGGGAGCACGCAAAAACTATTCACTTGAGTAGGGAAAGGGCAAGAAAATAATTAGGTTAAGTCCAGGCAAGCCCTGCCCTATAACCAGTGCTTAGGAACCCCTTTCCCTATGACCCTTCCCCCAAATTGGCACTTTATTTAAAATGTCCATTCCCGTAGCTACAATACAGGTAACATTTCTTTGAAATTCAACACAACAAAAGTTCATTAACCAACACTGGAGTGAGATACAGAAAGGAGATAGCATCTGTGGGATGACGGCTTTAATCGTACCTAAATTTCAATTCTTTTAAAACCCAAAGTGACTTCTTAAAAGTACTACAGTTCCCACAAAAGGCTTCAAGTAAGATTCTCATATGGGTTTCAGCGTGGGGCTGACGGCAGGACTGACAGGCAGGACGTAGGCCGCGATGACCCTAGGCTGATGCCGCGCGCCTGACCACGAGGGGCGAGTCCGGCGCGCCCACGGTAGACTCCTGCCCCAACCCAGCCCAGCCTCCTAGGTCTCGGGCGGCAACTACAGCCCGCCCCGAGCAAGCCCTGTAGGTTCGGCCCCTGAAGCACAGGGGATCGGGCATCCAGGCACTGCTCTTACCAGAGGGTCATAAAGCACCACAGAGCAGGAAGTACCGAAGGCCAGAAGTCCTCTGGGCCCGGAGCTCCAGCTCAGGACTCCCCGCACCCGATTTGGGCAGCAAAACACGTGAGAAGTCTCTAGCACGGGTGCAACCATGTTGCTGGCTGGTCAGCCGCCCAGACCCAGACAAGCACTTCCGCCCTCGGAGCGGAACTACTAGTGTGGCCGCTACTCCTACGTGCTACATATCCGGTCCGCGTTTCGGAGGCGGCCGAGAGCGGGACTCAGGCGGCCCCGCCCCGACTGGTGTGGTTCTCCATCAAACGCTCTAACCTCCAGCGCAGGGCCAAGCCAGGCCTCTACTGCGAGTGCGAAGCCCGACCAGAGTAGTTCGGGACCCTCCAGAAGGCCCCGGGGCTCGTGTGCAGGGTGCCGTCAAGAACATCCCGTTGCCCCTTACGGCCTGGCTCCCAGCAGCGGACGGAGCTGGCCTGGGGTGGGGGGACCTTCGCGAGAGAGTCTCGGGCCTCAGAGAAGCGCAGGGACGCGGAGTGGGCCAAAGAAAGGACCTCTAACTACTCACAGTCCACTTGGACCTCGTCACTATCTCCCGCCCCTGCTCGACCCGCGGCGTCGGCGAACACGCGGAAAGCGGATCCGTCTGGGGAGACGGGGTTCCGGAGTCGCACTGCGCATGCCCCCCAGTCATGGCAGGAGGAGGCGGTGGTTCCCGGCCGCGCGCTGCGCGCGGCAGTGTTTAGTGATTGTCCTCCGGCTCCTGGAAAGCGAGGGGCGCGGCTGCCCAGTTGCTGCGCGACGGTACCTCCGGACCGAGGGGCGGCCGGGCCCATGAGACCACCGCTTCTCCGCGCCCTGTAGAGGTTTCCTGAAGAGACCGGCGCGGGCCCGTTCCGAGCCTTCCGGACCGCCTGCGGGGAACTGAACCTGAGCGCGGGGCTGGGCCGTGGGACGGTGAGACCGCAGAGAGGTGAGTCGTGCGGTTTCGAGAGGGGTCGGCGGGTAGGGCAGCCCCGCGGGCTGGGCATCCAGGGCGGGCAGCGGAGACGGAGTCCTGCGGACCGGGCAGGGGGACTGCAGAGGGGAAATGCCGAGGGGAAATGCCAAGGGGAGCCCGCCGCAGGCGCCCACTCGCCCTGGAGAGCCAGACTTCTCAGTTTGGGGTGCCCAGGTCAGCTTCGGGGTCCAGCGGAAGACTTTTTGAGGACACGGTCTATACTCTTCATCCCACATGCGAGGAAGGCACTGACGTGTTTTAAAAGCCCTTAGAAGCAAAGCTTTGTGCGCTCTTTTCCGTTTTATCCACTTGCCCTTTTCTCCAAGGCCTTTGCATTCTGCTTTCTTTTCTCTCCAACACACGCCGACTTTGCAGGGAAGGAGATCAGCGGACGGGTCCCCGACCGCCCTCAGCATCCTCCCTGGAGAAAGGCTCCGAGCTGTCCCCTGTGCTTGTCCCCACCCACCCCGCTTCTTGTCTGTCTCCTGGGAATGATTTCTAAATGGTTCTCTTTTGTCTTTTAAAAGAATTCTCAAAACTTCAGGCCCTGAAGATTGTTCTTTCAGGAACCTCGTCCTGCTCTATGTACTGTACCTCCATTTCCACAGCTCCCAGTCTGATAAGCCGCACTTGTGCAACACATGGATCTTAATGAGCGTTTCCACATACATTCCTTCATGCGTTTTCCTCATTCACCGCATCACTGGCTTTTTAGAGGAGGTGAAGAACAGCTGACAGTTGTAGAGCTAAGTTGTCCCATTCATACTCTTGCTCCGAAACGTGACCTCTGCTTGTCTT